TAAGCCTGATGTCCCATCATGCGGATTTCATGCAGACCTGAGACACACCGAATTTGGCCTCTTCTCTGCCTCCCTGAACAGGGGTAACATTTGAGGACAAAGGTACCATCTGGTTTGTTTTGTTTTGTTTTAATCTTACCCAATGCACGTAGGACAGTGCCCAGGGAATGAAGCTGGATTCTGGGGAACTGCCTTTATAACTTAATAGTGGTTAATTAAGTCTGTTTGATATAGACAGGGTATTTGTGTGCGGCCATAACGAGACTTCTAGCATTAAAAAAGTTTTCTTACCCTGGGACCCAGGGTATGAGACCGAAGCTAAGGATTTCCCATGAGGAAGGAGGCAGCCCCCGCTTCATGCCCGGCCCCAGCTTGTAGAGAGCGGGTTCTGCCGGTCCTTCCGCTCTCCGTCTGCCTCTGCGCTCTGTCCTGAGGTCACTGAGGCTCCTGGTGGGGCATGGGGGGAACAATCTCCACTGCTGCCCCACGCTGCCCCCTTTTCTTTGCATCTCAGGTGAAAGAAGTCACACAGCTTTTACAGCCTTATGTCAACGCTTGACATCTTTAGTCCCTGGTGAAAAAACCCTTTGATTTTGGAACTAGTTTTTCAGTCCTGTTGGAGGCAGAGGTGTGACTCTTGCGAGGTGATCTCTGTTTTGAAGCTGTGGGCCTGATGGAGCAGCTGGTACCATTTCCGTGAGAAAATGTGTCTCTGTGCCATTGGCCAGCTGGAAGGGGCTTGTCCTCAGCCCCCCGACAGCCATGGCTTCCTGCGATTTGTGGTTGAAGGAGACAAAGCAGGCCGTTTCGGGTTTCATAATCTTAGGGAACTTTATTAACCACACAGTGTTCCTTAGTAGTCAAAGTGACGGCTCATGCCTGGCTCCGTTTTTTTCCCCAAATGGTGGTGTATTTTATTACCCACGGCCTAACCTTTCACATGCCAACATTGGTAATAATGCCGACGACGGAGACGATAACAGGGAAGACAGAGTGCTTGCGTGGCGGGCGCCACTCTAAGCATGGACCGAGCAGCTGCTGATTTAGTCCAGCCGTTCAGCAGTTACTCAAAGGAGTGCATTTTGACGGAAGCGTAGGTTGCCAGCGCTCCTTTTCCAAGTTGCCCGATCTCCCAGAGCCCCTTCCCAGTGCAGTGTCTGCTCCTTCCTTCTGTCACCATTGTCACCCACACCCCAAAGTGGAAAAGCACCGGGGCCAGGAAACAAGTCGTGGAACCCTGCCAACGTGATCCAAGTTCCCTCCCTTCTCGCGACGCTCAGCATCTCACAGCACTGGGAAGGTGCCAGGGGGACGCGGGCACCCCGACTTGTGCACCTTGGATCTACCTTCTGGTTCATTCTGTGCTTCCCAACATCCAGAGCGAAGAGAAGAGAGCAGAGGATCCTGGCTCTGAGAGCGTAGCTCCGGGGCCGCTTGCCCAGGTGCCGGCGGGGGCCAGGCAGGTGGCCCCGCCGAGTGAAGCGGGGCCGGGGTGAGACACGGGCCTTTCTTCACCGTGCGCCCGGAACTTGTAAGATAAGCTCACACTTCCAGCTGAGAGATCCGCTCTTGCCTGTTTGTCTCAAAACGCCTGACCTAGCTTTCATTTTCTGCTAGATGTAGGAACAGAGAGAGGATTCTGCTCTGCAAGAGAAACCACAGCACAAGAACAGTAGTAACAGGGGGCAGCCGGCACTTGACTTTAGCAGGAAGGAGACAGAGAGGACAGGTGGGGACTGTGGCCGACTGGAATGTGCAGGTCCTGTCTCCAGGGGCAGCTGCTACTCAGCCCCAGTGCTACTGGATCGTAGAGTTTTTCCGGAGAAGCCGGACTTTGTGTGCAGATCTTCCAGTTTTTTTTAATAGTAGCTTAAGTTTACAAACCAAAATACAAAAAAACCACTGTCTGGCAAAACACAAAATGTGGGTATGGGTCTGTGAGCTCCACATTCAGGAATGTTCATTCTCACAAGATGGTCCTGTCCTTGGGTGAGGAGGTAGGGGATGTTACCTACAGAAGCACAGGGAAGGTGGCCTGCAGGCCAGAACATCCTCGGGGGGCCGCTGTGGTTCGGTCCGGTTCTCTTTAACAGTCCAGTGTCGCCAGCCCAGTGCCTCACACACAGTAGGAGCCCCACCAGACAGGGCGGTTGCTTTCTGCTTATATGCAAGTTCGGTTTGTGGTAGTTTGGGGCTGTTGCGCTTCCAGCCAGTCCATATAGTTTCAGTGCTCCTGCTGTCGAAACAGCTTACCCTATGAGCTTCGAGTCTAGATTCCTGGGATGGAGAAATTGATTGGTTCCAGTTGGGTCAGACTGGAGTGCCCCTGGTTCATTCAGTGTCCAAGGGAAGTAGGGGGTGTGGATTAGAGGCTTCCCCTTCTGGCCCAGGGGTGGGCGAGTGTGGGTAGCAGGGGCACCAGACAAGGATGTGTGGACTGGGAAGTGGCAGCGGGCGTCTCTTGGTGCATCTTCTTCGGACTTGGATTTCCCCCCAATACAGACAAACAATAGCTGTTTTCCACTTTTCCACTTCCGCATTTTTGTCATTTCCAACAGAGTCCCCCAGATAGCTCTGTGACCTACCTCTAGCATAGAAAAGTCTAGTTAGTTTTCTCTAAAGTGCCACCTAACATTTCCTGGGAGCCGAGTTGGATACAGACATTTTAGGACTTGGTTTCTTCTCCATCATTTCCAGCAGGTACTGGCTCACCCTGCAGAAAGGCCTGTTATCTGAATGGAGCATGCCCTTGGCAGGCTGGGGTGTTACTAGAAAAGCCGGAAAGAAAATGCATCTTGGTGCAAAATAAAATATCAAAAGTGTAAAGGTATTTTGGCGCATTGAGAGATGTCTTCTTAAAAAGTTACAAGGTAGGGGGAGCCTGGGTGGCTCAGTTAGTTGAGCATCCGACTTCAGCTCAGGTCATGATCTCATGTTTTGTCCGTTTGAGCCCCACATGGGGCTCTGTGCTGACAGCTCAGAGCCTGGAGCCTGCTTCGGATTCTGTGTCTTCCTCTCCCTGCACCTTCCCTGTTTGTGCTCTGTTTCTCTCTCTCAAAAATAAATAAACATTAAAAAAATTTTTTCTAAGTTACAAGTTAGGCTTTAAGTGATAAATTTAAAGGATGTTGCAATGACACACTTTAGTCCATGATTCTACAAACCACATCCCTCCTGATAAATTTAGCTGCTGCTTGTTTTTATAAAGTTTTATTGGAACACATTGACCCCTGTTTGTTTACTTATTGTCTGTGGCTGTTTATTGCCCTACAGTATCAGAATCGAGTAGTTGCAACAGAGACTGTGTGGCCTGCAGAATCAGAAATATTTACCACCCAACCCTTTGCTGAAAAAGTTGGCCGACCCATGTTTTTAGTCATTCATCAAAGTATCTCCTTAGACTGAGAGCAACAGTTCTAAGTAAATGCAGTCCTTAGTAAAAGGAAGTTGATGTTTCAAAAAACAATCCTAGGAGAATGCTGGGTAGTTGAAAATAGGAAGTGTTCTCATTGGTGTTTTATCTACCTTGACTGACTCAGAGGATTGCTTGATGTTCTCTTCCGGCTGCAATGTGCTGGACCGGAATGCCCACACTTGGGCTCCTGAATACATCCTTTGCAGGTGAATCCTTCTTCCCCAGAAAGGTTGGATAGATTTTTAACCTGCCAGTTTAGTTATGTCTTTTAAGCAAACCTCCCTTTTACATCTTTTTTTTTTTTCATTATTACCTTTCAATTTGTAAAGGTTAAGATAAAGGGATTGTAAAAAAAAAAAAAAAAAAAAAAATGGTTGCAAAAGGGACAACAGCACAAAGAAGGAAATTAAAAATTTTCCATAATTCTGTCCCTGGAATCCTCTCTCACTCATGTATTATAGCTAATTAAACATTCGATATTATGTATTAACAGTCTTCTTACCGAATTGGAAGCATATACCCTCTGTTCTGCAACATGTTTTTGTTTTTAATTTTTTAAGGTTTATTTATTTTTGAGAGACAGACAGAGTTCTAGCAGGGGAGGGACAGAGAGAGGGGGAGACACAGAATCTGAAGCAGGCTCCAGGCTCTGAGCTGTTAGCACAGAGCCCAACTCAGGGCTTGAACCCATGAATTGTGAGATCATGACCTGAGCCAAAGTCGATGCTTAACCAACTAAGCCACCCAGGCACCCCTGCAACATGTGTGTTTTTTTAAGTTAATTAATTTTTCAAATAGTTTATTGTCAAGTTGGTTTCCATATAACACCCAGTGCTCATCCCCACAAGTGCCCTCCCCCATGCCCATCATCCCCCTTCCCCTCTCTCCCACCCCCATCTGCCCTCAGTTTGTTCTCAGCATTCAAGAGTCTCTCATGGTTTGCCTCCCTCCCTCTCCCCCACTATTTCCCCCCTTCTTCTCCCCCATGGTCCTCAGTTAAGTTCCTCCTAACCCTCCTATACGTGAAAACATATGGTATTTGTCCTCTGCCTGACTTATTTTGCTCAGCATAACACCCTCAAGGTCCATCCATGTCTGCAACATGTTTTTAAAAACTTAATATATACTGAACATTCCCATATCATTAAGTATCCTTTTCTTTACCGTAGTTTTTCATTATTACATGTGTCTTCATGTGTGTATTCCATGATTTCCTTCATTTCTTACTGCCTCTATTTTGGTTTTGAATTTTTTACTCTTCAGAAATGACACTAGGTCTTTCTCTCCCTGATTCTTTCTTTGGAATAAATTCCTTCGATTAGAATCTCTGGCTTAAGAAGTATGCAGCATTTCTAAGGCTTGCAGTAAGCTTTGCCAAATTGCCCTACGGACCCTGCTTTTTGATATACCCACAGAATGGCAGGAAAGCACCTGGAGTTTGGAAGTCAATTAGAAAGGCTGCTGTATTTTTATGCGAAAGATTTTGATAGGCAGAATATTGGTTTAGGTGGCCTTAACCTCATTCACTGCGTGCTTGAACGTCACTGGTGAACGACTGTAATTTTGGCTTCTGCTTCCCTTTTAGGCTCCCCCTCCCAAGCCACCGCGCAGACAAGGAGGCTGGGCCGATGATTCCCTGAAGGCTTCAAAGTAAGTACACAGCTCGTGAGGGTGGAGGTGGGCACTTTGGTCTTGTGTTATTTTTCTTTCGGGTTTTGTAACAACTTTATTGAGGTGTAATTCCGATTCCATGTAACTCAACCATAGAATAGACAATTCAGTCCTTAGTGCCTGTGACAGACTTGTGCTACCAATACCACAGTCAATTTTAGATCCTTTTTATCACCTCTCCCCCCAAAGAAACCTGGTACCCACTAGCAGTTATTTCCTATATCCCCCCCACAACGCCCGCAACCCCAGGCAGCCACCATTCTGCTTTCTGTCTCTGTGATTTGCCTGTTCTGGACATTTCCCATAAATGGGATCATATGTTATGGGGTCCTCTCTGACTGACTTCACTTGGCCTGATGTTTTCCAAGTTCATCCATATTGTAGCATTCTCTGTTCTTTTTGTTTTGTTTCATTTGTTTTGTTTTGTTTTAAATATTTCTTATTATTTTTGAGAGTGAGACAGAGACAGAGAGCAGGGGAGGGGCAGAGAGAGAGGGAGACACAGAATCTGAAGCAGGCTTCAGGCTCTGAGCCCAATATAGGGCTTGAACTCACGAATCATGAGATCATGACCTGAACCGAAGTCAGACACCTAACCGACTGAGCCACCCAAGCACCCCTCTATGTTCTTTTCTTAAAAAATGGAGGGGGGCACCTGGGTGGCTCAGTCGGTTGAGCATCCAACTTCGGCTCAGGTCACGATCTCTCGGATCATGAGTTGCTAGCTGCTGTCAGCACAGAGCCTGCTTTAGATCCTGCCTCCCTCTCTCTGTCCCTCCCCCACTCATGTTCTCTCCCTGTCAAAAATAAGTAAAACGTTTTTTAAAAATGGAGGTATAATTGACACACATTGTACTGGTTTCAGGTACACAACATAATGACTCAATGTCTGTATCCGCTCCTAAATGATCACCACAATGTACAAGTTAATCGGCACCATACATAGTTACAAATTTTTTTTTCTTGTGATGAAAACTTTTAAGATCCACTCTCTTGGCAACTTTCAAATATGCAATACAGTATTTTTTTTAATGTTTATTTTTGAGAGAGAGAGACACATACCATGTGAGCAGGGGAGGGGCAGAGAATCAGAAGCAGGTTCCAGGATCTGAGCTGTCAGCACAGAGCCTGAAGCGGGGCTCGAACCCATGAAGTATGAGATCATGACCCGAGTCGAAGTCAGTTAGTTAGACTGAGCCACCCAGGCACTTCCTGTAGTACAGTGTTATTAACTGTAGTCACTATGCTGTACATTCCATCGTCATGACTTAACTCATTATATAACTGGAAGTTTGTACCTTTTGACCCTCATTCTGTGTTCTTAAAGTAATTTTCTAAACAGAATGGAATGACCCATTAGTAATTGCAAGATTAGAAACCACTTTGGTCTCTAATCCCTTGCACTAAGTCTTAGATGAGAAATAAACCAGAAAAAAATATTTACTACACCAGCAGGATGGCCAGCTTTCAAGTTTAACTATTTGAGATATACTCGGAAAAGGAATTTCTTTTTCTTGAAACACAAACGTTAGTCTTTTTTTTTTTTTTTTAAGTTTGCTTATTTATTTTTGAGAGGGAGAGAGAAAAGAGTGCAGGAGAGGCAGAGAGAGAGGGAGACAGAAAATCCCAAGCAAGCTCTGTGCAGAGCTCAATCTCACAAACTGTGAGATCATGACCAGAGTCAAAATCAAGAGCCAGTTGCTTAACTGACAGAGCCACCCTAATGTCAGGTGCCCCAGACATTACTCTTGTCTAGAATTTCCTTCAGCACTTATTACCTTCAAACTATATATTTTTCTAATTCTTTCCTCCATTCATTTCCTCCCTTATATGCGCGCGCGCGCGCACACACACACACACACACACACACACACACACACTTTTCCTCCCCTGAATCATTTGAAAGCAGGTCGCAGACATCATGACATTTCACCTCTAAATACTTCAACATGCATCTCTCAAGATTAAGGATATTCTCCAGATAGTCACAGTATGATGATCACATCCAAGTAATTTCATAATGAATTAATATTTAATATATATTTTATATTTAAATTTACCCAGTTGTCCCAAAATGTCTTTAATAGCTCCAGGATCCAGTCAGAGTTCACACATTGTGTTGAGTAGTTCTACCTCTTTATCTAAAATCATTTTTATTTATATCTGTCTGGATAAGTTTATTTAAAGAGAAGTTTTTCTTACCTAAAATATCTCTCTTGATCTGAAATAATTCCAATTTCTCCCCTGCTCTCCCAGACATTGACTTTTTGAGGAGTCCGGGCCAGTTGTCTTACAGAATGTTATACATTCTGGTTTTCTCTGGTTCCGCGTGATTAGGTTCAAGTTGTAGGTTTTTTGGCAAGAACATGATTTTATATACTTCTTATCATATCAAAGTGGTATAGGAAACACATACTCAGAGATGTCTCACTTGCATTCTTATTCCCTCCTCATTCCCCTGCATCTCATCCAGTAACGTCTGTATTAGTTTCTGGTCTATCCTTCTTATCTTTTTTCTTTCTTTTTTTTTTTTTCAGGATTAAACATATACATATACAATTTTAATTTATTCTTCTTTGTTTCTATATGTTAGGATTCAGCAAACTTTGACCCACAGGCTAGCTGCCAGTTTTTATAGATCATATTTTATCAGAACACAACCACACTGTTTCATTTAAAAAATTTAGATCTCTGATCTGTTTGGAATTAATTCTAGCATATGATATAAAGTATGGATTCAGTTTTAATCTTTTCTGAAGTGGCTACTGCCCCACCACCATTTATTTAAAAATGCATTTTTCTCCAGTGAATTTAGAACCATCTTTATCATATTCTCCATCTTTGTACCTGAGTCTACTTTCAGACTTGATATTCTGTTCCAGTGGACTTTCTGTCGGTTCACATGCCAGTAAATACCACACTCTTTCCCTTAGAGAACACAGCACTGCTTTCAGTGCCAACCAAGAGCAAGAAAGTAATGCTGTAGTATCAGTGGGTGTCTTATAGAACAGCCGCATTTTTCTAAGTTAGTAGGGGATTTTAATGCTTGTAATAGCTGGAATTTATTTTGGAATGTGAAGATGAGACAAATCCTGTATCTGCTTCTTAGAGAACAAAAGGAAATCTCAAAAATGGGTATATTAAATGAATATTATCAATGAGTGTATTAAAGATTTTTCCAGATCAGATCAGCCTGCTCTTGGAAAAAGATGCTTTTCCATTTTGCATATTACTTTTCCATTGTCTCGCATGGCTCCTTAGTCTGTGGCCTGGTCCCTACCTCTCTAGCTGTTGGGGGGGGCACGGGGCTCATCCTCGAGCCTCCTCTCTTCACTGTCAACCCTCACTCTTGCATGATCTCAACCCAGTGTCTGGAGTTTGACTGTCACCTTCACAGTGCCAACCAACTCCAAAATATGTATCCCTCCAGGTCTTTCCCTGAACATCCAGTTATCCACGTGGTGTTTCTTCTTGAGGACATAACTGTCATAGCACGTCTGAATCAGTCCTCTTAATGGTCACCCCTTCCATCCCATCTCCTATCTTGTACCCCCCAGAGTTTCCCTCAGATCTCCATAAATGGTGACTCCTCTCTTCCCCGTTACCCGGGCCATAAACTTTGGAATCCTCCTGGACCCTTCTCTTGGTCTCAGCTCATGTTCAGTCTGTCAGCAAACTGGGTCAGGGCTACAGATGAAATACATCTGTGGTGTGTGCTGCCGGTGTTTGGCCACAATCACCGTCATATCTAGCATCGACTCAAGCGAGAACGCCCTGACTGGTCTCCCCCCTTCATCCCAGCCTCCCTCGGTCTTCTGTCTACAGAGCCAGAATGACTTTTGTAAAACATAAGTGAGATCATTTCACGTCCACTGAGAACCCTCCAGTGGCAGTCCCTTCCCACAGTCAGAGTACATCGCAAAGTCTTTACTGCGGCTCACAAGGCTCTGCAGGACCTCACTTTGTATAAAGTAGCTCCCTCGTCACTGTGTTCCCACCTCATGCTTTGTGTGTCAGCACGTGACATATATGCATGCATACGTGTGTGTGTGTGTTCACGTACACATGTTACCTTTTTCTCTCTAAGCTTCTTGAGGGGGGACCCACTCGTACCTATGCCCGGTACCTCAACTAGTGCCAGTCCGTGATAAGTACTCAGTGACTGTTCATGAACAAAGGAATGATCACATCAGTGTTTCTGCTATCAGATCGAGTCACTTTGCTATCAGTGTGGAAAGTGGAGGTCTGGAAGGTTGGAAGCCCTTTTGGGGAAGCTAACAGTCTGTCTGAAGGATGATAAGAGCTAAACTAGGGCAGTGGTGTGAGCATGGAGAGGAGGGGAGCAATGGAGACATTTTGGAGATGGAGTTCATAGGACTCTGTGATGTGTCATTGGTTGGGGGTAGGGCAAAGGAGGGAGGAGGGGAAGGTCACTACAAGGTGCCTCACTTTGATGACTGGGTGGGTAGCGGTGCCGTCAGGTAGGGAAGGCAGGAGAAACCTGATTTGTAGGCTGGTGGTGGTCCATGTGGATAATTTCCTCAGTTTGGGAGTCTGGAAGAGAGGTCAAAAGAGAGGTACAATTTGGATCATCTACACAAATAGAAGTCAAGGGTGGAGCCTTGGATTTGACTGTTTGGAGGCTGTTCAGAGGTTACTAGAGACCTTTGAAAAAGTGGTACTGTGATTTGCACTGGGGCAGAAGCCAGATGATGAGCTGAAAAGGAATGGAGGCAGGGAAATGGTGATCTAGTCTCCTTCCCTGAGAAAGAAGGGACATAACGGGACTGTATTTGGAAGGAGTGGTGTGTGTAATACGTGGGGAAAGAGTGATTGCAGGTGAAACAGGAATTTGAACGAGCAGGATCCCTGAAAGGATACGACCTTCCAAGAGATAATTAGCCTTGGACAGAAGGAGGCAGGGACGTTTTTCCTCCAAGATAGGAGGGAGCTTGGAAAGGCTGGGTAAGCGACCAGGA